TTTCCTACCAGAAGCTGAAAAGATCAGGCCAAGAGTGTTCAGGATTGCCTCTTTTACAGGAGACCATCTACATCTAGTGAGCATATATAGGGCCACAGAAAAGAATACTGCCTTCATTAGTGTTATCTTGGGCCCTGGTTCCAGGCACTGGAACATTTCTGGCGCAGTTACAACTCCTTATTGGCTTGCTCCTTCCTCACCCAACAGTGGCATGCTGTTTCCTGCCTGTCCCTGAACACAGCCAGCACAAAGGAGCGCTAAAGCAATTGCTCCACTACTCCCAGACAAGGTTTATTTAGTTCCTTTCATTAACTGTTAAAGCCTAATGAGGGGGAATGCATTGCTGAAGCTGCAAATAGGAAAGTGGTTCTTTCTGTTCAGCTATAGCTTAGCTTTGTAGTGACATTAACCTGTGCCTTTAGTGTGGTGATGAGGCAGAAATTCCTGAGTGCTCAGACACTCTGTAAGGATGTCAGGAAGCTTACATGAACACAGGTTCTGTGTCAAAAGAACTTTAGATTCTTTAGATTCCATCTGCTTTCCAGGCAGGTAACCTTTAAGTGTGTAAGCATAAAGGATGAATTGGGTGTTGAAAGGAATTGAAATTTCAGCTGCTCTGGGAAAGAGGAAGATGTTTTAGTCAGCCCTGAAACTACAGAAAATATCAAGTTTTGTACCAGGTTCTGCCCAGAATACCTTGTCCATGAAGAATAGTACTTTCTCTGCAAAACCAGCATGCTGGTACATCTGTGCATAGCTACTTTTAAGGTTTTCTTCCAAGGTTCTTTTTGGTGATTATGGCTTTAAAAAAAAAAATTCCCAAACCTAAAAACACCCTTCATTACCTTCACCCCCACACTGAAGGTCTGTCTATGCTGACACAGGTTCTCTAAGATTACTTGAGTTGACAACAGTGTTTACATTAGTCCTATTATCAACATAATGAGCTTTCAAAGATAGCAACAGTCTTTACAGCATGTCTTTGACCTCTTGTAACCAGAGGAACCAGTTGAAGCATATGGCTCTGTAAATGTCATGTTCCCCTTCCTCAGGATGGCCTGTACTTACAAGGCACTGATTTTGAGAGGAGAACAGTGTTACTGCGACTTTTTCTCTTGATCTGACACTCCTTCTTTGGGAGACCAGGTATGGTCATCTGATAATTTGACACAAAACTTCTTGGAGTTTAACAGACTATGAGTCTGTCAAAAGAAGTAAATTTTATGAGTAGGAAACTTAGAAACAGTTACCTTTTCAATATTTTTTCTGTTGTAGATTGTAAAGTGATACTTTTGAGAAATAGCAACAGAGGGACAGTTCTTCTCTTTCTTTTTTCTAAATATTTCAGAAGCCTATTACATTGGGTTTGCATGTCCAAGCTTTGGTAGCAGGGGCCTACAGGGGTGCCTTCTCTGAGAAGCTGCCAGAGGCTTCCTCCATTTCTGGCAGAGCCAATCTCTGTTGGCTCCAAAGATGGCTGTGCCGCTGGCCAAGGCTGGGCCGATTAGAAATTATGGTAGTGCCTCTGGGATAGCATATTTAAAAAGAAGAGGGGAAAAAGAAATCCTTGCACAGTTGTAATTTCAGCCAGAGAAGAGTGAAAGGAGAACATGTGATGGGAACAGCCCTGCAGACACCAGGGTCAGTGGGAAGGACGGGCAGGAGGTGCTCCAGGCACCAGAGGATCCCCACACCAGAGCAGGGGGATGCCTGAAGGGAGGTTGTGACCCCATGGGAGACCTGTGGAGAGAGGAGCGCACGCTGGAGCAGCCTGTCCTTGAGGGGACTGCACCCCATGGAAGAGCGACCCACCCTGCAGCAGTGTGAGGGGGACTGTTCCTGTGGGACAGACATCAGACATCAGAGAAGTTCATGGAGAACGGCTTCCTATGAGGGGGATGCCATGGTGAGCTGGGGAAGGACTCCTCACCCCGAACAGAGAGAAACAACATGGGATGAACTGAGCATAACTCCCATTCCCTGTGTCCCTGTGCTGCTGGGGGAGTGGTAGAGCTGGGAAGGAGGGAGGCATGAGGGGAAGGTGTTTTTAGGGTGTGTTTTACTTCTCATTATCCTGCTCTGATTTTGTTAGTAATAAATTCAATTAATATCTCTACATCTAGAGATGGTATTTGATGAACCATCTCTCCCAGTCCTTACCTCAGCCCATGATCCCTTTGTCAAATTTTCTCTCCCCTGTCCAGCTGTGAAGCGGAATGAGAGAGAGAGCTGCTTTGGTGGGTGCCTGGCACCCAGCCAGGATCAGCCCACTAAACCTTTTCAAGAGAAAAGGGAAGACTGGAATGAGCGGATGTAATCTGTTTTCCAAGCTGCTTGGAGTTTTTTATTTGGGAGGGAGGGGTTGATTGTTTAGGTTTCCATCCTATTCAAGCCAGAATATTTAGAAGTGTACTTTGAACTACCACTTTGGGTTATTGACTTCTTTAGTTTACTGATTGCAAAGCATGTATTTTCTGGTGGGCACTGTGAGGCAATCTATTTGACTGTGATGGAGTAAGGATTACTTTAATCCAGATATTGTAAATGCTTCTCTTGGCTTATTTTTTGTAGCCTCATTTATCTGTCTTCAGGCTGAAGGAATTTGATCAAAAAATAGGGGAAAGAATAATGAGAAAGAGGAGAATAAATGTTCTGCAATATAGTTTTTAAGTTGTGCTTTGAATTCCTGTGTAATGGCCTGTATCTTGTAAAACTCAACAGTCAAGGAAATGCAAGTGTGGTAATTGGCAAGATTTATTATTTGAAAACTGTTTTATCATAATGTGCTGTGCAAACTGCATGCCATACTAGTGATGCAATGTATTAATGCAAGTTTTGTTCAGATTATGTTGGAAGGAGGGAAGCCTGTCCTGTACTTTCATAGTGGACAAATGTGATGTGAATTGAGAGATGAATTGTAAAAGGATAGGTGCTATGTTCTCAGGTGTTTCAGAAGAGATGCAGAAATAATGACGACCTTAGATTTGTCTTTTGTTTCAAAGCTTTCATTTATTTTATTTATGTGTGTTGGAATTTTCAGAAAATCTTGTTAATGCTTGAAATTGTTTTTTCTTTGAGAACTGTTGTGAAGGGCCTCTTAGTAGTTCCAGGCTGATGATGAAGACTTAGAGTTTTAGAAGTCTTAATTTGATCATGATCTGATTATGACTAGAAACTCTTTCTAGGAAACACTGATAGTGATTTAGTAGTCATGATGCAGCAAGATTCCTGTGTCAGGCAGAGTCTGCCTCTGTGCTAATACTTTCAAACCTTTTACATTTCACTTTATCAGAACTCAATTTAAATAAACACACAAATATTAAATTGACAATTTTAGATGTGAATAGTGGGTTTTATACCAAATTTAGCAAGTTAATGGCATGTCTAATGAGTTCTGCTGCTGGTAACATGTAGGTAATACCACAATCTTGAAATCTCCCTAGATACATATTTTTTTATTAACTGTTGATTATATATGAATGCAACGTAGAAGATACTTATTCTGGCTTACTAAGAAGTACTTGTGGATTTGGAGGGAGCTGTTTTGTTGGTTGGTAATTTGAATGTCTTGATACACATGAAAACTTTTTTTCCTAATATTCCTGATCTTTAGTCTCTTAGACTTTATTGATTTTAGTGTTTGGTTACCCCTACAGTTATTTACCCGTGTTTATAAGATACTTGTGAATTTCTTTCATACTTCTGCTCCCCTGACTTTACTGGAGATATGCAAAATATAGAAATTTGATAACTTCTTTGTGGCTATGTGTGTTGTTATATAATGTTGACAGAAAATATGCATGCCTTTATTGTAGACAAGGTAACAGGTGTACTTTCCTACACTTGATTTTCATTCCTTTTAAAGTGGCTAATGTCAAACCTACTTCCTGCTAGACTGCTCTTACTTAAAAAGTTGAACAAGTTTTTAATAATGCATGAGAACAATGATTTGGATTTGGGTTTTTTGGTTTTGTTTGGGGGCTTTGGACTTTTTTTAGAGATGATGGGGAGGAATTTGTTTGTTTGGTGTGTTTTGTGGGGTTTTGGGAAGTGTAGTTGTTGGTTTTGGGGTTTTTTGTTTATGGGGTTTTCTTGGGTGCAGTGTGGTATCCCTTCTTATTCAAGGTACTTCCTTTCCCAAGTTTAGATACACTGCTGCAGTCTGACCTGTGCTAAGAGTCCCTGGTTAGGGGTACAGGGCAGTGGATCAGCTCACTTTTTTTGCAGGTACTCTTCTTGGCCACATTATCGTTCTCTTCAGAGGCTTTTCCCGTGTAACTTGGGTAGCAATTGCTTTTTGCATTCACACTAATGCTGAAAAATATATTAAAATTACTTGTATGAGTGTTAACTAGATGTTTCTTTTGTTTGCCCCTGTTAATTGCATCTTACTAGGAGGAAGGCTTTGTTTTCAATTCTGTATTCCCTGCTGGGCTGTCTTGCTTGTGGATTAGTTTGATAAGAACAAGCTTCTTGGCTACTATGTGGAATGATCAATATCATTATACTGCTCATTGTCAGTATGGGCAAGCTTTAAGTCTCACTAAATTTATAAACAATGTACCAGCTTGCAGGTTTTATCAGATAGCAGAAGAGTAAAGCTGACCAAATTTTTGCAGGCTTGATTATGCTTCATGTGATGATAACCAAAGATCTATTAAGGCTCTAATCAGTTTTCTGTTGTAAGTCCACTGGAGTTAAAGTGAAGACTTTAACAAGCCACACTGCATTCACAAATCCATATTAAAAATTTAAATCATTATTCCAATATCATTCAGGCATAGGGAAAAAAATTACTGCACATAGAGAGTAAACAAATAATTGTGTGTTTTAGTCAGGAATGTCATAGAACAAAATTGCTTGTTCTTCTACCAGCTCCTGTTTCATAGTTGATAGCATTGTGAAAATTTTCATCTTCAGAAATGCTTTTTTTGCCTTGCTCTGTAGGTTGCGTCTGTTTCACTTTATATGCCAATTTTTAAACATTTCTAATTTTCTAGGTATGGAATTCGCCCTGAAAATGTGATTATATATGGCCAGAGTATAGGAACGGTACCATCTGTGGATCTTGCTGCTAGATATGAAAGTGCTGCTGTAATTCTTCATTCTCCACTGACCTCAGGAATGCGAGTAGCTTTTCCTGATACAAAGAAGACTTACTGCTTTGATGCATTCCCAAAGTAAGTTGTAGGATATTTTTTTTCTTCAGCATGCATTTTCTCTGTAACAGAAGTTCTCAAATAGAGAAACAAGTAGTCTGGCATATTGTCTGAAATTCTTTTCAAAAGTTTATTAAAAGAATTGGAGAAAAATCAGTGAATAACATTCAAGAGGAGCACTTGATTTGAAGACGTTTACAAAACTTTGTAAACCTTTTAGGCACTTTGCATTTCTAATGATTTTAGTGGATATCTGTAAAGAAGTAATTCATTTTCCTGTATATAACATGTAAATCCCTAGTTTTAACAAGTAGTTCTGTCCAATGAATTGTTAGTCTGGGTAACTGTGAACAAAGTCATTTGCAATATGTTTCTATAAGACTGAAAAACTAAGTAAATCTTAACTGAAGAAAATTTCTGTTGTATTTCAGAACTATGCCATTGTTTTCACAGATATAATCTTTTTCTTTACAGCATTGACAAAATTTCTAAAATAACATCTCCTGTCTTAATAATCCATGGAACTGAAGATGAAGTAATTGACTTTTCACATGGCCTGGCATTATTTGAGCGTTGCCAGAGACCTGTAGAACCACTGTGGGTAGAAGGAGCAGGCCATAATGATGTGGAACTCTATGGACAGTACCTTGAAAGATTAAAACATTTTGTGTCACAGGAACTGGTGAACTTGTAACTTTCATTGTGTATTTACATGTTTTTTTCATTTCACTGCAGAACTGCACACTTTGATAAATATATAACTTAAAACCTGAATGTTGTTTTCAAATCATCTTGGTTGCCTTCATTAAATCTACAGGTAATGATTTGTCAACACAATTAATGAAGGTTTTAATGTCAGCATTATAAACTGGAATTACATGATCATGCAGTCAGACTGGCAGTTCGTATTTCTTTGTGTGAGGTTTTTCTTCTTAGATGTAAAGAAAAAAATCACAAGGAGTACTGTAAGAAAATTTAATTATATAAAACCCAATGCTGTAAAAGTGTTGCCAAGTGCTTTAGCATATCAAAACCAAGTTTATAAATATTTTTTAAACATCTCAAAGTGTACTGTGACTTACTCTGTTGCACAGGTGTAATTAAAAAACTGACTTCTAAACTGTTGTTCTGTAAAAATGTAATAGTCATGAAATTTGAACAAATACTAATGTATGTAATGAGAATAAACAGTCACTGGAAATTACTCATGCCCTGTTGCAGGGAGAGGGGGGGGAAATAGATATCTTTTCCCATATTTTTTATTTCTTTTGTGTTTAGTTTTCCTTTAGTTATTTTGTACTCATATTGTCTCTTAGCTTTCAGGATAATAAAATGTATCCATTCATGTTCTCAGGAGTCCTAATCTTGCCAGAATAATTCCACAAATTATCATTGTTGTTATGCAAGTATCATTCACATGATTGCTACTGAGGCCACAAAATACCTCTTTGAAACCAGACTTAAAATCTAGAAGACTTCTTGAACCATGTAGTTTTAAACACTGATTTTCTAGAGCCACAATGTGTCATTTAGAAGAACCTTGAAGTTTATCCAACATTGTAATAAAGAATTTGCAACTTAGCAGTTGTCTGATCAGGCTAATTTTGGGTGTTTAGTGTAAAAGCTTATTGTTTTTGAGTATTGTATGGAAATTTTACTAATTGGGCCTGTGTGGGGTGAGAGGAGTGACAAGAAGAGAATATTGACATTTTTCTATTAACTCATCATAAAATAAACTTAAGTTGCCTTTCCCTTGAATGCATTTTACGTGAATAAAACTATGAAAAATAAACTTAATTATATGTAGCCTAATTGTGAACAAAATAATATTCCAACAATACACACTGTGCTTTTAAGGCCTTACATAGTTTAATTGTTGTGCTCGTTTTTTTGTGATTGAGACTATTGTATACTTAAATGTAGCTTTGAGTATTGTGAAGACTTTGGTTAAGATGTGTTGATTAACAGTAAACAATATTCCACAAACTTGCAGTTTTTCTTTTTATTCAAAGTAATAGCAGCAGTTGCTTGCAGAATCAAAATACTTAGCAACTCCCCATTTATTCAGGAAATCTGACATCAAAAGTAATAACTCATTGTTCTGAATTGCCAGCACATTTCTTTATGAGCAGCTACTGTTATGGATCACCCTTCTATCCCCATGCCTCACCTTACTACAATTTGCCATTCAGGACACAGGCTTTCTGCTGCAAAGCTGCTTGTAAACTTTTTTTTCTGTAACGAATTCTAGTATCTCCTTCTTTGAAACTAAAATGAATTATTGTCTTATGCACTTTGTTGAGTTAATTGAGTAGAAAGAAATTTGTTCACAAGGAACTAGGTTTCTGCATGACTTTTTGATCAAGGATGTTTCAGTGAGTTCTGAAATTCAGAGTATATTCAGAAACAGCAACATTAGACTTAAAGATTTTCATCCTGGTTCAAAGCTTTTCGATACAGGTGTATAACTCAGCTTTATTAACATTGTATTTAATACATAGTTTGATTTCCTTTTCTTACTACCTTAGTAAGGAGGTAGCCACTAGCCACTATCTCCAATGGAAGTCCTTGCCATTAAATGTTTAAGTGCTTTCTTTGTGATGAATGGAGCCTGTTTTGAGATTCACCTTCAGGAATTCAGAAATAAAGAGTGTAGTAGTGCAATGTTAAGTGATATATATTGGCTGCAGTTTGGTTGCCTGCCCCTTGCAGGCAAATGATCAACTGTCACCACAAGAACTATCTGATTGTTCCAGGAGATATTGTGGCACCCTGTAATTGAAAAAGACAGAAAAGGTGTCATAGTAGTTTTGCTGCTTTTGTTTCTGTATTTTGTTGAAGCAGAACAAAGGACCCGACTAACAGTGTTTTGACTTCAGTATGTGCAGCTGTGCTGGAGTGCACTGGTGAGTAGAGATTCTGGTCTCTTGCACCATTTATGCATGGTTAATTATTGCCATTTTGTGCTGATTTATGTTTTATCCTTATATTTTTTCAGATGAGTTGTATATGTGAAGGAATTTAAATAGCTTAGCCTGTGGTGCAGATCGTACTATGGCAGCAAACTGTTAGTGACAGAAAGCAACTCAGCTGTTGCAACGATGAGGAAAACATTTGACATCCTGATTGTCTTATTCTTATACCATCATTTTGGTCAAATTGACAATGGGCTGTTGTTTAATGTTACAGATGCAATTGTCTCCTGATAAACAAAGTTGATTCAGCATTCATTGAAAAGACAATGCCTGTATTTTAGGGAAAAAGAAAAGAGCATTTTGTAAGCTTCGTGGTGTCATTCCTGGTTTGTTTTTTTTTTTTTTAAGAGATGTATTTGACAGTAAGCTGTCATTTTCAGTTCTGGAAACCTTGGCAAATCAGCTTTCAAAACAACTTCATATATGTAAAATATATGATTACCTTCTAAAGGTGGGGTCTATTTGGGACATGTTTTGCTTTTACATTCACAACTCCATAAAACTCCCCTCTCTTTACTGTCTACTTCTGGTACCAAAGAATTCTAGTGTATAGTCAGTTAGATACTCTTATTGATTGATTCTAAACTTACTTTCCTTTTCAAGATTTTTTTTACTGGGGAAAAATATTGCATGTTTATTTTTGGGCTCCTTTAATTGGGTGACATTGGACAAGAAGGTACTGCAGATATGGAATATGCCAGGTCCTACAGGTCCTAATTTTTCTCACTACTCTGTAGGCATTGTTAATATCTTAAAGTCACAAATAAGGAAAATAGTATGTAAGTAGGAGGCTGATTGGTTGAAAACTTTGCAGAAAAGGAGTTGGGGACCCTGCTGCAACAGGCTGCACATGAACCAGCATTGCACCCTTATGCCAAAGGTGAACGAGACCATTCCAGGCCTGATAGGCAGAGGTTTGCCAGCAAATCATGGGAAGTGATCCTACCTCTCCTCTCTGCTCTGTGAATGCAGATATGTGCAAAAAGCTGAATCTAACTCTGGGCTTTTGCATGGGGAAGATAGGGATGTACTGAAAGAAGTCCAGTGCAGGGCCACAGCTATGACTGAAAGACTGGAGCATCCAGCATAGGAAGAGATGCTGAGAGAGCTGGGGCTGTTCATCTTGGGGAAGAAAAAGTTTGAAGATTGGCAGGATATTAACTATTATGCGTGAATATCTGAGGGAGGGAGTGGAGAGAGCTGAACATTTCCCTGTAATGCCTTCTGAGAGGGCAAGAGCCTATGACGACACACTAAAAAACAGAAGATGTAATCTGAAACTAGAAAGCAAACTGGGTTTTTTGAGGTGTTTTTTTTTTTTTTTTTTTGTTTGGTTTGGTTGGGGTTTTTTTGTTTGTTTGTTTGTGGGGTTTTTGTTGGGTTTTTTGGTTTTTTTTTTTTGTGAGGCAGATTGAACACTGGGACTGACTGTGTAGTTCTCATCTTTACACATAGTCAGAATTCAGCTGAACACAACTTTAGGTGACCTGCTGCAGCTGAGCCTGCTCTGAGCACACAAGTAGATGTTCTCAAGGGGTTCCTTTCAGCATCTTTCATTGTGTGTACACCAGCTCAGAAGTGCAGAGTGTTTATTTAAAAGAATTATCTTCATTTGGTATTCCCTACTTTTGACACTTTATTTTAAAGCAACAGAAAGCCCTTTTTCTCTTGGTCCTGAGACCATCATTGTTTGATGCACTACTGCTGAGTCAGACTAATACCACCTTTTATAGCACAGACAGTGTCATCAAAGATCACAGATTGCTACAGTGTACTACAAATGGAAGGTTGAAAAGCTAGAAGTGAAGTATAAGTGTGCTATCCTGAAAAAAGTCCTTGAAAGATATCTTAAACACTGTCAAAGATGGAAATGTTGCATTCAAAGCTACTATTAAGTTATGAGATACAGTTGTTTTGGGTTGTTTCAATAAAATTGGGTAATAAAGTTGGTTTTACTTCACCAATGATTAATGAAATGAAAAATTGTTTGTGGGCAAGTTTGTCATGAGCTAGTAACTTGCTCACCATCACTGATACAGTTCAGATAACTCTGATTGTTATGTTAGTGTGAAAACCCATTCAGCTTGAGTACCACCAGATTGAAATGTCATCATGACATTACCTTAGAGCTCTTGACATATTGAACTTCATATTAATTGTAAAATAGCCATAAAAAGAAACAATGATTCCCCAATAAATTCTATTGTATGATAATAATTTCTATACTGTATCTGCTTACCTTTTTTATTTATTTCTCAGTTAAGTGGTCTTCTTTCTATGAAAGGGAGTAAAATCTTTGCAAACTTCTGGTAAAATGCCAAGGAAAATGTTTCAAGAAAGACAACTTTGTAAAAGACATGATCTTAACAACAGATTACTCTTCCAGAGAGGAAGGGCCAGCCATAAAAAATTATCTCAGCATTAACTTTTTCCCAGGGGCATTAGTAGGTTGTCTTAGTCTAATAACATCTTTCTAAATAATGAGGAAACCTTGAAATGGTCTTGTTGCTTAGAAGAGGTTTTGAGGTTGGTCAAGGAGGCATCATACAAATGGTTGTCATTTTAATGTTTAATTTTCAAATTTTTTGGCTTAAAGTGGGCAAATAGTTTTCTAACGTTCATTGAGCACTGCAGAGAAGACATGGGAGAGATGTTGATGAGACAGTCAATATAGCTTCATATTAGGCTAGAAGCTGTGTGCACCTCAAGTGGTAACTGTGCCTTCTCTCCTAGAGCTTTGGGTGAATGTAATATGGACATAATCAGGCTGTCATACTGGGACATTTTTAATTTTCCAAAGCCACAAAAGTTTTTGCCAGATGTGTTTTTCTGGAGTCAGGTAAATGGTAGATTGACTAAAATTCTAAAACTGAACTGTGCCAAAGATCCGAATAAATCGTAAGCTAGAACAGCATTTTAAGTCATTTAATCAGTAAATCATCTAGTAGCTCAAGGGCACATAATGGCACTGCAGCTCTTTATCCAGCACCTGAAGTATTGCAAAGGCACTTGATTGGCCAACTTGTCTGCTTTTAAAGGTATAAGTACACTTTCAACATAAATGTACATTTATGTAAGTCATTCTAAGGAGAGCAAGGAGTGTGTATATAAAAATCAGCAGCAGCTTTGTGAGAGCATTACTGATTTGGAGACACATATGATGCATTCTGATTTTGCCCCAAATATTTCCTAATAAAAGTTTGCTAGGTTCATTTGGTAGATGCTGCACACTCTTCAAAACAGGAACAGAAATATCAGGTCTCTGGTTTAAAACAACCTCCCAGGATAATGCTGTTTTGTTGCATTCATGGCAACACTTTAATCCATTAGAAAAATGTTCACAAAAGATTTGGGTGGTAAAATCTAAGTGCTGATGAGGCATTTCGGTTTTTTGATGTCTCTGTTTCTCAAGATGGTACTAGTTAAATATATACTTTACTTCTTTTTCATGTATTTGGCCAAGTGTATTATAGTGCGTTGCATAGATAAAAGCAAAGGGATGTATACCTTACTTACCAGAATTCTGTTTGTGTTGTAGTATCATTTCTAGTTGGCAACAAGATTTAATGTAAGTTTCTTCCTGTCAGAGATTTTGTGTCCTCTGAAGTGCTGGAACGCAAACCACATGCTTGGAGCCAGAACAGGAAGATAGACAAAAAATGCACACTTGAAAAAATATATGAGTTCCTGTTCTGCTGTATTTGTAGAGCCCAGCACTGTCTCAGTTTGCCCATCATAGCAGGTGTGTAATAGATACCCTGTCATTATGTTAATTAGGGTTCCAGAACAAAAAGAATTTGTGTCTTGGTTTAAAGCAACTTGAAGGAGCACACTCTGGAATGAGCTGCCTCCCTTTATAGGTTGAACCAATCCCTTTCCACCCATAAATGATGACTACAAGTAGAAGTGAAAAGGTAAGTTTACCAACAACGGGTGCAGCAACAGTCAGGAAATAACAGCAAATACCCATCAGATACAAAACTGCTAAACCTCGCAGACTCCACAGAACAGAGAGACCCAAAATGCCAGGGACAGCCCCGCAGGATGACGCTCCACAGCCGAGTGCACAGTTCAAGGGACAAATGGAGAGGTGGTGCCAGTCTTCCCCCACCATCCCCTGCGCTCTGCTCATCTCCAGCTGGAGCTCTGGCTGGTGCTACACGGATCAAGGGCTGGAAACTTGCGGAAGGACTCCCCCTTTCTCTCGGCAGGAGCAGTAAAGGCAAGGTGTCTGGGCTGGGGTGACTCTGTAGTCTTCTCTCCTGGAGCAGGGACCGATGGATCTGGACCAGATTGCTGGAGCGCAGCCACCCTACTCGATGCGGCAGTACAGGCGACATGTGTGGAATTCTCTTCCATGGAGCTCAAAACTGCCAACTGGAGACTCTCCAATACAAGGGGAAAAAACCGAACAAGAATCCCAAAAGGAAACAGCTCTGCCTGGGCAAAGACCAGGAAGTGAGCGAGCCAAAACCCCCACGGCAAGAAGGGATGAGTTGCTTGTGACAGCCGACTTCAAAAGTGCCCAATAGCACCTCACACCACAGCTTCCTGGCTGCAGGTCAGAAAGGGACAGGAACAATTTTGGGCGCAAATAGATCTGGAATATGACAACATTTTGGGTTACAGATGACAGTTTGTGTAATCTAGAAGTTAGGATGATATGTAGGCTGTATTTTATATGTTTCTTTGTAGTCACAAAATCTTGAGGGTTCTGTTTCAAGGAGAAGTTGAGATTCACTTGTCAGTAACTAGAGTTCTTCAGAGGCATATGACATCACAAGGCATGATAAAACCACAAGGACTGGCAAATCTGAATATGCAGTCCTGGAGGCAACTCCAGAAAAATGCAGATAAGATAACCATTAACTTTAATACAAATAAGGTAAACATTAAATTTAAATCTTTCAGACTGCTGGTACAATGCATTATTGTCCTGCCATATTTTCTCTTTCTAATGTAAGGAAATGGATTTTATGTGAGGCACTGTTTATGCCTTATAAAATCCCATTGTGTTTTCCCATATGTGTCTGATTTGTGACACTTCGGCTTGCTTTCCACAGAAGTTGGCACAACAGGTTTTTTTACATGGTTCAGTCTCTCCTTCCAGGCAGCAAGTGATAGGAAAAGAGAAGATGGCCTCATATTACACCAGGGTTGGTATGGATTGGATATTAGCAAAAATATTGTCACCAAGACACTGACAGGGATTGGAAGAGGCTGCTCAGGAAAGTGGTTGAGTCACCTTCCTGGGGGTATTTAAAAGACAAGTAGACACATAGCACTTGGGACATGGGTTAGTAGGAAACCTAGTGGTGCTGTGTTAGTGATTGGACTTGCTGATCTTAAAGGTCTTTTGCATCTTTAACAATTTGATGAATTCTATGGGGAGTAGCTATTTTAAAAAACTATCATATGTGAACAATAGCGTTCATATGTGAACAAAGCATTATTACTTCTGATTATTGCTTTGTCAGTGTTCAGCAGCTGTTCTGAGTCAAATTCTCTCTGTGATATGTGAGGACAGAGCCATAAGAATGTGCATGTTTAATGGTAATTTGTCCTTTTATTTATTTATTCTATCACTTGTTCTGAATTGTAATTAGTACTGTATGACTTCAGTAAACAATTGGATTTTCTAAGTAACCAGGAATACCAGTAACTGATGTACAGTGTGTTTGTTTAAGAATTAATGTTTTGAAATATTCACATTTCCATGTCTCATGACTGATTGTCCTAGGGTGACGTTATGATGCTTGTATCCCTATTCATGTGTTCTGTTAATGTTGGATATTATGTTCTGTACCTTTAAGACCGGCTCTGAAGAGGGGAAGTTTTGTTTTGGTTTTCTTATCAGCCTGGACACAGAGACTGCAGCTTTTGCTTCTGCTTTTGCTTTTCACTTTGCTCTCTCTCGCTCTTGCTTGATTCGCTTCTGCTTGCTTTTGCTCATTAGCTAGTTTAGCTAAACTGTCCAAATTTCATTCTGGACTGTTTCTCCTTTCCTTTTTCCACCCATTTCAAACCTGCTCCAGACTGGGACCTGGGAACACCGAGAGTTTGCACCTTGCAGCCTGCAGCAGCTGCCCCAGTGCCGGAGGGACTGAGAACAGACTGACCACCCCCCAGGAGAGACTTTCTGAATTTGTCATCTTTTTCAGAGTGGTGCCATCCGGTATTGTTCATTTTGTGTGCTGGGGGGTGCTGTTTATGCCTATTAAATAAACAGGTTCTTTCCACTTCTCTCTGAGGAATCCTTCTTGAACCGGTTGGGCGGAGGGGCTGTGTGGGTTTGCTTACTGGAGGGGTCCTCCTTTGGAAATTCTCTACCAAATTTGCCCTAAACCAGGACACTGATACACATACAGCTATTGAATAATTGTATAGTTTTATTGTAGTCAATCATGTGATCATTTATGATAGTCAAAAAGTGTATTCTTTTTATTAGTGAATCATTCAGCTGGCTGCAGTGCTTTTCCATGCGTCCCCTTCATGGTTCATATGAGTTTTTTCCTGTTACAAAGGAATTAAAGAACCAATTTGGCAATGTTGGTGGGAGCTGACCACTGCATTGAGCTTAGGAAACATGGGGACATCTGTTTCCACATCTAAGTTTTACATTGTTGCAGCTTTCTGCGCTGTGTAGAGTGCATGTGGAGCATGGATAGGGTCTGCAATAAAGTTTCTATTTAGGTAAACTTAAGAATTTCTTATATGCCAATTTTTCTGCAATAACCATGTGACTCACTATAAAAGCATGATTACTTATGCTTTCCTTTAGTTGTATCACATTTTCACATGGCTTAGAACCTGCAAAAAGATTAGCAACTAATGCACAGAAAATGCTGTTCTTGTAGCAAATTATCTTGAAAAGTGCTGTAATATGTCAAGTTGTCCATCTGTCCCACTGCTCTGTCTGCAGCATTGCTAGTCAGAGGTGTGATTCAGTAGGAGCTTTTCGACTGTGTGTTTTCTGTTGTCAGATCTTCTCATGCTCTGCTGACATCCTTATTGGAGAACTGGAAATGTTAAAAGACTACATCCAAACCTATGCCCTTTAAAATCTTTAGTGTATGATTGTATTTATTGCCTTTTTGAATTTCTTGATACTGTTATTTCATGGCTACAAATCCAACAATTTCATCACTCTAAAAGAAGTACTTCCTTTTCCCTGTTTTCAAATCCATCTCATTAAATTTTCACTCATAATAAATGTCCTCCCTTTTGTTTTTTCAGGGTTTGGTGAACAGTTCTGCTGCCACCTTACCCAACTATTCTCTAGCAGATATCACAGTTTTTCTTGTGAAGGTAAAGGAAGTGCTTCCTCTCGTTAGTCATTTAGTTGTCCTTGTTTGAAATATAATACACACTTAGGGTACACTAAGAAGCAGTATTATTGACAATATGTGCTCATGCTTTCAAATAATCTGATAAAAAGAGATACTACATGTATTATCTATAGAAAAAGACAGTGTATAAATATATAATCTAGCCACTGCTGTATTTTATGGAGCAGTATTTCTATAGATATTTCTATTGACGTTTTGAGAGAATTAGTGTGGAATAGGATATGATATCTATTGGATGTAGGTGCAGGTACTGTTTCTGTCATAGAATATTTTAAAAAATATGTTATTAGAAGAAACCATATCTCCAGGCTTAGATTTTTTTAGCATTGTTAAAGCAGTGAAACTAAGTACTAGAAAATACTTTGAGAACTAATTTAAGTGGTCATCTGCAATATGTTAATAAAGTTTTCTGATATGCATGATAATACTTTGATGTGATATTTTTGACAAAAAAACAGTGCATATACATTGATGATTCCTGTACTAATCCTTTATTTTAACTCTAGTAAATTTCTAGAGAGGAAAAAACCCATTAAGTGACATAAGTATCTACAGTGCGTTTTTTGGATTGCACTTCACTGCGACTGATAATTTCTTATGCCATTGTGTGTCTTGAAACACCTAGGTTAATGATTTTTTGAATAGGGCAGCAGCAGAGAAGCAGCTAAATTAATAATGTCAGACTTCAAAGGCTCTTGATCATTAAGTCACAGGTTGCCCGATTGTTTATTGTGACATTTTCTGCTGTGACAATACTCGAATCACAGCAACTGCCACTGCTGATCTGGCCAGTCTTCCCTTGAGTTTAGATTGTCCCTTAGCTTCACACAAAGTTCCATTTCTTCCTGCAGGCTCTTTGTTGTCCCTTGCACCTCTTGTCTCGCTGCCCCTGTCTTAATCTCAGTGCGGCCCAAGCCCATCTCAGAAAGCTTCCAAGCAGCAGCCAGAAGTGGATGAGGCTCCAAGGACTCTACAAATCCATTCTGCATTTCAGTGGCACAGAGAAGCACAGACAAGAAGGGACTTGCTGCAACAAATGTTCAGCTATTCCTGCTTTCATAAGGAGACGTTGGTTGCCAAGTAGCCCAAAGGCCAGAGGAAACAAACCTCCTCCTCCTCTTATCTGCTCCTAAGTATTTCTCTTCCATCTTGGTGTGGGAAAAGAAAATAACAGGAAAGGGAGGATATGAAAAATAGGATGTTCCACTGGGGAAAAAGAAAAAGATTTAAGGTAAATTTATGGCCTGGTGAAGGCCTAAAGAAGGATCTGCAGATTAGATGCAAGGAGTTTGTGGTTAGGTAGTGGAAAGCAGAACCAGCAGAATGAGACAGAAAAAGGGAGATGCTGGGAGAAGTGAGAGATTTTGGCAGAACTAGGCAAAATAAGGAAAAGGAAAAAATGAAAAGAAAAATGCAAAAGGAGCTTAAAGCTTTTGTCTTTTCAAAATAAAACTTTTTTGAAAGAAAAATGTAACTAATCCGAATGGGACTGGAGTAATTAGTAGATGGAGAAGTGCCAAATATAATGAAAAATAGAGAGGAAGAAGGAAAATGTAAAAATGAAAGGAAGTGGAAAAGGGGAGGGGGAACACCCTACATTACTTCTATTTTCCAATTCCTTTGTTTTGTCATATGTCCTTGGGAAATCAGTTTATTGTGATAAAAGAATTTATGTCTAACAATGGCATCTCCTCTGTGTTTATGCACTGATACTGTTACTGTGCTAGGGCTAGACCCATGACCTCCAAAAGTTTTTGATCATTCACCTCTATCAGTAAGACCTTTTTAAGCATGTACCCATAATAGAGGCATATATATTTATTTATAAATTGTACACATGAACTATTCCATTAATGTATTATGTACATCTAAAAACATTTACCAAAACAGGAACTAAGATAATGTGAGATAAAGATGAAAAAAACAAACAGTATTTTGAAAATTTGCATTTTATTTTATTTTATTTTATTTTATTTTTTATTTTTTTTGTTAATGCTAGAACCCATATATCTTCATTGCACTGTATTGTCTGGCATACATCCTGGGTTGTACATTTCCCTGCCACACACATAATTTGGAGAGCACTAGACTAGACACTAATGCAATGTCTAAAGCCTTGTGATGAGCTCTCTCCAAAGCTATTGCTTACATTTCTGATGGCCTTGGTGAGGAAGGTGAGGATGTGGCCTCCTTATCACAAGACACAGAGCTGCCTCAATTCTTCATAAGTGTTTTACAGTACTGCACAGAAATGGATTTAGAAATAGCTGGTTAGGACCAGTCAAAATCATTGACAAAAATAGTCATTCAGCCTGATGGCACCTGAATTTTCTATGTTGTATTGTCTTACATTTACCAGCTACAATGAAAAAGAATTATGGTTTCCAAAAACAAAAGCACAACTTACTGAAAGCAGTGTCCATGACTTTAGAAGATTCTAGTCCAGTTACAGCCAAAGTAGACCTACAGCTATTTGATAAAGACATTAAGAATTCAATTTAGTCTTTTATATTTTCCTAAGTTTCTTCTCAAAGTAGGATCAGGAAATTGAGTTGTGGACATCCTTTTAATTAGACCTGCAATCATGCTTTCAGTTGCACAGAGAAGATTAGACCCACTTTTTCAAGCATAACTTGATTTATATATGTTGACTCTTGGTTTTCAAATGTGTTTGACAGAACACATTTGAAATTAGTGTGACATTCAAAACTTCAATAATAAATTATACTGGGCTTTCTTGCAAAGGGTAAGCCCCAAAAAAGCCTTTGTTTTGCTGTTTTCCCATGTGCTTTCCTGTGGAAATTCATATAACAAAGGTTTTGGGAAGGTAAGAGCTGTAAGAATATAAGCATAGGCTTGTATTTAAAGAATATTTCTTTATATTTGTTTAACAACAGTTATACTTAATGTTTGTGTAATTCATTTTCTTATGTCTAGAAGCAGCAATTTGAAGCAGTAACAAAAGGCAAACACTGATAGTGAAACAAAACTATGATAAAACTATGGATTGTTTATAGGTATTTTCAGGCTAGTTTATATTTGAATGCTTTCTGACCTTCTTTGTGCCCTATGCTGACATAGACTTGAATTACCAAACATTACGATTAACATCCTAGCCTAATAAATCTTTGTTGCCAGCAGATTATCTAATGCAGTCTGCAGTTCAGTCAAAAGGCTGGGTTTAAATGCTCTAGAAATGTAGGAACTTATGCCAGCACAAAACCTGGCAAATTATATTAACCTCTTTAGTCAAACTTACACTTATATTTCAAATATGTAATTGGATTTTGGCATCAGAGGGGAGGTTTCTGACTTTATATGTTTCCTTGTAAGAGTCCATCAGTGCTATTGACTGGTCATGTCAATGGCTTAAGGACCAGAATAGAGAGATCCCAAAAAGGTGTGTTTAATCTCCCTATCCCTGACCTTTCTGCTGGGAATATTGGAAAAGTCAGTAATGATTACAAAACAGACACTGGTTTGCATTGACTCGGACTGAGAAGATTGCTTGTCTTCAGTATGCTTCCCCAAGGTGGTATCAGGCAATTCCTCTGTACTTTGTTTTCAACACACTTTATAAACACAAATCCATCATTCTTTTAATCTGCTGGAGTGCTGGTTGAAGTTGACTCAAACATAAAAGGGTCTGTATCCTGTTGGGCCTCTGCTATCCTTTAAGTAGTATTTAATGGCTGTACTGTTTGTGAGACAATACTGGCAGAGTAGTAGGAAGACTCTACTGCATTGTGACCTAGATCATTATCAATCAGATAAACTTTAGAAAGAAAAAGAGCCCTACAGAGCTGGTTTTTAGATTTAGTTATAAATAGAATGCATTCTATAAAGTTTTGTATGAGATCTGTTTTACAGAGGATGTTTATGAGTCTTTTCAAAAAGGAAGGGACAGTAAACTCTTTAATATACTAATTAATATATTGAAAACTTATGTTGGGCCACAAAAAGTCTTGAGTTTATCCTTCTCCTGTAATACAAACTAACCCAAGACTGGTCCTTTTAATTAACCTCCTGTGTTTTGAACTGTCAATGGACACAAAAGTTGTATTTCCAAGCTCCAACTTCAAAAACGAGGATAAAGTACTTCATTTTTAAAAGAAAGCTTAGTTTCTAATGTAACCATAGCATTCTAAAGAGAATAAGAGGGTATAGAGACTATAAGGCAGATGTTATTAAACTTCAAGATAATGAAAGGGTCATGAGAGCAGACAACACCAGATAAGCTTGAGTTTCCACATTGATTTATGGTTCTGCTCCTTGCAGAACCAATTTGAGATTCTGCAAGCTGGGTCTTGAGGATGTCAAGGACAGGTGCATGAGGTTGTAACCAGTGGGTACCTTGGTGTATATAACATGGGAGATCACAGCTTTGGCTCCTATCTGAGTTTAACCCATTTGTATTTCAGGGGAGATTAAAAAGAAAGATGAAAAATGTTTGTGTCAGCCAGACATCAAATGTAGCAGTCTGCTGCTCTAGATTTACCCAGTCCATATAAGATGCAGCTTTGTCATTGCTAGTGTTGAGAAGATCCTTAAGCTACAGAAAATTTTGTGCTAAAAGTTCTGTTTCTTCTAGTTACTGTGGAAAGTCTAGGAATCATCTTTTTCAGTGCAATCTTATTCCATAGCCATGTTCATATCCAAGAAAGCTGCATTCACCTAACAGTTCTATTCAGATCTTAAATACTTTCTAACTTGAGTTCTAGCTCAAGACTAGTCCAAAGAAAAGAACAAGCCTCCTGTCAAGTTTTGGGTGTTGTCAACTGCATATGAAAAAGTCAGCATTTTATTCACAAAAAAAAAGAAAGAGAAAGGTTGTAACTGTCTGCTGTCCTCTTTGAGGGAACATTTGAAAACATGGCTAGTGAAAAGGACAGCATGTATGCCAGGATAAAATTAAATTCCTTAAAAGGGAGGAAGAAATTCCATTTGACTGGCAAGCAATTCCAGTTGAATTGGAATATAGCATTAACCAACAGTTGTGAGGAGTTATTAGCACACTAACATTTCTTTTTCCAATTAGTAATAAAGTGTTTACTAATATTTCCCTTTAAAATGTGGTACTCAGTTTCAGGATTAGCACCCATGAGACATACAGGAGCCATTCACATCTCATGCCTTTTGTTACACCAGTCAGCAATCTGTTATTAAGTTGATACGCATATTTTGAAACTTAATTGTGCAGCTGCAGGCATTCCGAGACAGATATTAAGATTCTTTGAATATATTTTTATAGTATCTTGCAAGAAACTAGGACACTGGATCATAAATACATCAGATAAAATTGGATTCCATTTTGGGGATATGAGAGATAAATAGTAAATCAAAGTTTAAACTCTGAAGACCAAATAAACCCATGTACTTAAAAAAAGTAGAGTCATTACTACTGAATAATCCTTTAGATATGTATTTAGCAACATATTCGTGAGTATTTGCTACACAAGATTGATGGATCAGGTAATACTGCTTCATATTCAAAAATATTCTATGAGAAGAGGTCCTAAATAACAGCATGCAAAGAGATTTGTGTCTATATATGTCTGATTTTAATTCATTATCTGCACATGAAGTCAACACTTTGAAAAGTGGAATAAGTTTTAAAAATTAATGTGATTTCTGTACACTCTGGCATTCAGAAAATTTATGATTTGTTGTCACATTTCTCTGATTCCAAAAAAGTGTCTTCTTTCCCTGGTTTCATGTGAGAGACTTATGACGCTGACCAAAGGTAAGCTGTTATCAAAAAAGCAAAATAAACAGACAGAAGCCTCTTTCAAAGTCTTTCTGTTAAAATGACACACCACAAAGTTTAAGTTAATATCCAATTCTGGTGGCTTGACCTTGGCTGGATGTCCAGTGTCCACCCAGCCACTCTATCACTCCTTGACTGACGGAAGTCTGTTCCAGTGCAGGCTTCCCACAGGATCACAGCATCCTTCAGGCATCACCCTGTTCCAGACTGGGGCTTCAGGAGCCACAGGTAAGCTGCAGGTGGATCTCTGCTCTCCTGTGGATCTCCATGGCTGCAGGGGGATCGCCTCACCATGGGCTGCACCAGGGGCTGCAGAGGAATCTTTGCTCCAGCTCCTGGAGCACCTCCTACTCCTCCCTCTGCAGGTCTTTTTCTCTCAGGTATTCTCACTCCTTCCCAGTGCAATAATTTACATTCATGATTTGATTTTTATCTCCTGAAGGGTGTATGATTTAAAACAGTAATGTAAAAAATTGTTAATTACATAACAAATGAAGTAAAATAACAATCTATAACCATATAATAGTCCTTTCTGCATAGCAAGGCAATTGACTTAAGGCATCCATAAATTTGGGAAATTACTGTATCCCGCTCTTTGTCTTTTTGGTTAGCCAGAATGTAAATGTCTAAGAGTTTATGTCCAATTGCTGAGTGCTTCAAGGAGAGGACACAAATTTTCCCAGTCTCATACAGTTGTTCTGACCAGCCTGTCCAGCATGAATCCATGGACCGGGGGAGGTTTAGTCCAAAGCCTGCATGAATCTCACCCCTGCAGCAGGGGCTGATGAAAGCTGCTGCATTGTTTCGGCCTCGTATGAATTTTAGTCTGAACCCATGAAAAGGTCTAATCACTGTGTAACTCAGCACCATTGGTGATTCCTTATGCGTGTAAAAAGTGTAAATATATAGTGGGAA